TTAGTTAACTTCCAAGAGGATCTGGTCTTGAAAATCCAAATTTAATGTGCCTGAATCTCAAAGGGACTGTTCATCTTTTTCTTAGATATCTCTGGCTGTAAGATCTTTTTCTTAATGGATTACTCTGTTCTGGATTATTTGAAATCTCACATATGCTTTCCTTTTTTTGCTGTATGACATGCCCAGAAAGATATTCAGCCCTTTCCTTACATTACACACATACATTGACATATTTTCTTTAGATGAGGTTTTCAGATGTAGAGAGTGAACACTGACATTTTGAAGAGGTGGAAAGGGTTTTAAACCACAGGGCTTGGAACTTGTAATTGAGTACCAGACATTTCTATTTTTAAAAAAAGCAGTCATTTTTTTTTTTTTTTTGCCAACTTATTATCTAGCCTCATTTATTCTTATCAGAATAACACAGAACCCTTCACCCCCAGTCTTCAAGCTCAGTTTTGACCTCTTTTTCTATATTCAGATTTGGTGAAATGCTTTGCTCAACATCAGCTTTTTAGCCTGGAGTCCCATATTTTCTTTCTTTCCGATTTGTCTCTATAAAGAGACAGGACTATATAGAGATTTTATGCCATTAATATGAGTTAAATTATCTCCCACAACAGAGAGAGTTACTACAGGCAAATTCATAGATTTAAACATTAGGCTAGTGTAAAAGTAATTGTGGTTTTTGCCGTTACTTTTGATGGCAAAACTGCAATTGTTTTGCACCAACCTAATAACATTTCTGTTGTATTAAATAGTATTAGTTGAAGTGATGGTAGTGCTGTCAATATGAGACCATAAATGGTGAAGAGAAGAGAAAAAGGTCTGGGAAATTCAATCAAATGGTTCAGAGCTAGAGACACATGGCAGCTCTTTTCATGTTCCTTAAACAACTGGAGAAAAGATTAAATAACAATGACCTTGTTCAGGACCCTTGGAAAATTGAATAATAGAACACATGTGCAGGACTAACAGAGACCTGAGATACAGCTGTTTGGTGGGAAATTCTTAAGACAGTTTGGTTGTTCATGTTCTTAAGACCACATGTAAAGGGGAATCAACTTGCTCGGAGAGTGCAACACTATCCCAGCTAAAGAAAATGCCACAGAGTACTGCGCTTTCTCCTCAAGAATATGTTACATTGGGGTCCATGGTTACCAGGGCAACAGTGAGCTGGGATCTTTCTTTGAGTACATTAAAAAAAAAATTCTGCCATTGAAAGTTGATAGTGTTTGAGAGTTTCGAAAGCTTCTCCCTAGAAAGGAGTTACAATGGTGTGGATACACAATGAACCAGGTTTTAGATTTTCTGTTCAAATACTCCTGAGGACAGGGAAGGTAATTTTTTAAAATTATACTTTAAGTTCTGGGGTACATGTGCAGAATGTGCAGGTTTGTTACATAGGTATACATGTGCCATGGTGGTTTGCTGTACCATCAACCTGTCATCTATATTAGGTATTTCTCCTAATGCTGTCCCTCCCTTAGTCACCCTCCCCCGTGACAGGCCCCAGTGTGTGATATTCCCCTCCCTGTGTCCATGTGTTCACATTGTTCAACTCCCACTTATGAGAGGGAACATACAGTGTTTGGTTTTCTGCTCTTGTGTTAGGTTGCTGAGAATAACGGTTTCCAGCTTCATCCATGTCCCTGCAAAGGACATGAACTCATGCTTTTTCTGTGGCTGCATAGTATTCCATGGTGTATATGTGCCACATTTTCTTTATCCAGTCTATCATTGACTGGTATTTGGGTTGGCTCCAAGCCTTTGCTATTGTGAACAGTGCCGCAACAAACATATGTGTTCCTGTGTCTTTATAGTAGAATGATTTATAATCCTTTGGGTATATATCCAGTAATGGGATTGCTGGGTCAGATGGTATTGCTGGTTCTAGATCCTTGAGGAATTACTACACTGTCTTACAAAATGGTTGAACTAATTTACACTCCCACCAACAGTGTAAATGCATTCCTATTTCTCCACATCCTCTCCAGCGTCTGTTGCTTCCTGACTTTTTAATGATTGCCATTTTTGACAAACCTGACAAAAACAAGCAATGGGGACAGGATTCCCTATTTAATAAATGGTGTTGGGAAATTGGCTAGCCATATGCATAAAACTGAAACTGGATCCCATCCTTCCACCTTATACAAAAAGTTACTCAAAATGGCTTAAAGACTTAAATGCAAGACCTAAAACCATAAAAACCCTAGAAGGAAACCTAGACAATGCCATTCAGGACATAAGCATGGGCAAAGACTTCATGACTAAAGCATCAAAAGCAATGGCAACAAAAGCCAAAATTGACCAATGGGATCTAATTAAACTTAGGGGCTTCTGCACAGCAAAATAAACTATCATCAGAGAGAACAGGCAACCTGCACAATGGGAGAATAAATTGGCAACCTGTTCATCTGACAGAGGGCTAATATCCAGAATCTACAAAGAACCTAAACAAATTTACAAGAAAAAAACAACCCTATCAAAAAGTGGGCAAAGGATATGAACAGACACTTCTCAAAAGAAGACGTTTATGCAGCCAACGAACATATGAAAAAAAGCTCACAATCAGTGGTCATTAGAAAATGCAGATCAAAACCACAATGAGATACCATTTCATGCCAGTTAGAATGGTGATCATTAAAAAGTCAGGGAAGTGTGTGTTCACCTATTAAATGATACGCCTTAGGTTTTGAAGGAGTGAATGTAATTCTCACAGGGACACAAAATTACTGAAATGGGAAGCTTTCCTTGAGTAGTTGTAGTCTAGAAAAAGTCTTGTCTACACAATTTCAGAGTATATGGTAATTCGACTCAGACAGGTTGTTTGAAATTATGTAGACAAGATTGTTTTATTATTTAAATATTCAATTTTAATGCATTGTTTTGATGGTATTTGAGAATAACTTAAGCCAGAAACCTCCACCCTTAGTCAAAACCAGTGAAGACAGAATAACGCGATGGTTCTGATGCTGGACTTGGGAGCCAGATAGCCTGGCTTCAGATCTTTCCTCTTCCACCCAGCTGTGTGTGACTTTGGTGAAGTTAACTTATTTTCTCACTTTTTCATCTGTAAAATGGAGATAGTAATAGGCTCTCCCTCAGGTGGTTTTTTATGAAGATTAAGTGAGTTAATGAGTAAAGTGCCTGGCAATTTAAAAATATTTTCTAGAATCTGATTTATATAGTATTTCATCTAAGAGCTTTCTCATGAAACGAACATGTGTAAAACACACATGGGAAATATGCTAATTTTAATCCATACAGACTTTAAAATGTTCATTTACTCTTAAAAATGAGAAAGCTAGTGTTTGTGTGGAATTTTAGTTAACTATAAATTAAGTGAATTTTTACTTTTTGGTTATATTTCTAGTTGGAATAGCAGGTATAATATTGATGCATTTTAGCACGCAGAATAGTATAACAAACATTGAATATAGAAAAATCCATCCGTTAATTAGCCAGGCCTGAATAAATTCACGCAGCACTGAGTAGAGTTCAGCATTAGGTTGTTTTCCTGATATTTGTACTTTGTAATAAAGTCTTGCTCATTATCTGTATTTTTATTGGAAAAAAATTGTTAACTTAAGGAATAAGAGAATGAGAGTTTTCAATGGCAATAAGTAATGAGGAAATTAGTTTTGCAATCTTTATGGAAGTGAAGCTATTCTTCTCTTTATTTTAAAATTCTATTGCATTAACAGAAAAAAAACTGTATTTAAGGTATAGTTGGTAAATTATTCTAAAAGCCTTGAACTATTGAGATTAAAATAACTTCAAAGGTTCCAGAATGGTTGTTTATTTTGGGAAATTAACCTATGGCAACCATTATAAAATCATACATCTATTAATATGTTCATTGTTTAAACTGAAATAAAACATAGTATATCTTAACTGTTAGTTAATAAAGGAAAAAATAAAAGGGTTAAATCAATTAAACATTGTAGATATTCTTTATCACTGACAAATCATTGTAAAGAACTAGAGGCTGATCCTACATTTATGTATATTTCCATAACATTTATTTTGGTCTCAGGGCAGGAGCTTCTCCTATTCTTATTCTATCTTGACCTCATTTGCTAGATTCTTGTTACCAATCTCTATACTTCTCTGAGACTTGTCAATCATATTCTTGTACCTTAATTCTTTTCTACCTATTCTTTTTCTCAAACTTTAAGATAAAACCTGCTCAAGAAATTTTGTCAATTTTCAGAGATATGTTCTTAATTTTGTCAATATCTCAAGCTACCAAGGCACTTCTTTCCTGTCAATCATCTTAATGGACAATGTGCACCCTTTGCCTCTACTTTTCAGCTCCTTCTTTGCTCTTCACCACAGTATGATTGACTGCCACTCATCACTGTCCTGTCACTGCTCTCACAAGTCACCAGAGATCAGCCTATGTCAATTTAGTTGACCTCTTATAATCTGAAACCTGCCAATCGTCCTTTGCTGCATTGGACAAACTTTTTCATATGGTTTCTCTAATGAGACTCTAGTATCCTATGCCTACCTTACCTTTCTTAACAATTTTAGTATCTGTTATTGCCCCTACTGACCCTAAAATTTTATCATCCCTTAGGAATTTACCTGCCTGTCTTAGAGGAAACATAAGCTTTATTTAACCAAACTAAACTCACTTCCTTTTCTTGCCTTATTTGTTTCTCTTCATTTTTCTGTATCCTGCTGTGACTTCATCACCTGCACCATTGTTTAAGCCAGGCATCTTTAATTCATCTTTGTATACTTACTTCTAGTTGGTCTTGAAGTTTCGGCATTACTTCTCTTCATTCTTTGCATCTTCATCCTTCCACAGCCTTCCACAGTATGCTATCTATGTAGGCAATAGTTACAATTCAGAAGTCTTTCTATGATCCCTCTAAGGAATCTCCAAATCTTTGGCTGGTTCTCTGATTCATTTACTTTTGTTTGATTCCTGAATTTGCCTTCTAAAGGACCTTCAGGATCAATATTCAAGTTTTCTCTTGCATCTCTAGGTATCAACATCTACAGGAAGTAAACATCAGCATCCCTTCACCCTTTGCTGGGACCTCTAGGCCTACCCTCTGCCAGAATCAGACTGAAGATCTCTGCCTGCAAAGCCAGTGAGAAGGTGGACTATTGTTTAAGCCCCCACCTGATTCCCCCAAAGATATTGTTTCTCTGAAAGCAAAGTTCACTCATTTTCATTGAACAAAAAATTTGAACTAGTGAAAAATTATCTCTATCTTTGCAAATGATTATATATATCTAAATCTGTAAAGTTGCTAAAGGCATGTCATTTTGACTCTTAAAAATAAAAATGCTCAAGTCACTTGTTTATGCACAGAACATCCTTTGCTTGAAAAGAATTAAGTCAATACATTAATTTTTTGTACAGTGACAGTGGGGTGATCTGTACCATGTTTTGTTGAAAAAGGAAAAAAAAGATGATATTTTCTACCTGAAAATCTTATTTTTGTTAGCTCTCCACTTCCTTTTTTATCAGTGCAAGTTAGTTGTTAGCTTGTGTTATCCTCTGACCATTTTAATGCACGTAAATAATTACTCAACAGAGATCATACAGAGGAAAAATTGCAAAGGCTCTTTTGAAACCATATATTATAAATTACAGTAGTTGCTGCTAAACAAGCATAAACCTTTTTTTTTAGGATAATGCAGAGCATGTTCACATGTTACCTCCAGGTCTGACTCCTATCTAATTGTCATCTTTATGAAAATATCTCAGTTACTAATACAAATATTAGGAAGCAATAGAGCAATTTTTATTATTACGAGGGGACAGAGACTACCTTAACTTTTATCTCTACCTTGTAAAAACTATTTTAAAAGACTTATTCTCAACAGTGAGAATTTAGAACTTAAACAATTTCATTTATAGTTGTCTATGTTTCATGGACTGAATTGGAGGTCATTATGTTAAGTGAAATAAGCCAGACACAGAAAGACAAATTTTATATGTTCTCTTATTTGTGGCTTCTAGGGGCCAGTTTTAAAATGCATTAAACATATTTTCTGCATTAAAATGCTTACTAACCATGTCATAAATTTAATTACTACACAGGGCCCATTTGATTTTCAGTTACTCTCTGGAAATTTATAATTACATATTTATAATTTATAATTAAAGAGACTATAAAGTTTTAAAATACATTCATTCAGCTAGTAAACCTTTGAACTTAGAAAGGTTGATTCATAGAAGAAAGAGGTTTCTCCAGGCCCCTATTTCCCCCAGGTGATCCTCAAGTGTGCAGCAACAGTTAAAGTATTAAATACATTATCTCTTATCCATTTATTTATTTATGCCAGTATTGGACAATTGAGTTGTTCAAGAGAATCCAATTCTCTTATATTAAACCAGTGAATGTCTGTCATAATATAAACATGTACTTTGTTTCACTTATTGGGTTCATCTTTTTTAATTTAAAAAATTTATTTAAAATCAGTATATATATATATATACACACACACACACACACATATACAAAACATATATTAAATTCCAGGGGCTATGCTAAACACTAGAGACACAATATTGCAATGGACAGACAAATTTCCTGCCCTCACAGAGTCTAATAGTAATAATACAAGGTTAATCAAAGGGAGTGTCCTTTCAGCTCTTTGAAGGCAGTAATAGCTAAGCAAATGAAAGTATCGCAGACAGATGAAATGGAAGAAAATATGCAAAGGTCCAGAGAAAAGAAAGTATGGTGAACTAATAATAGTTCATCATAGCTGAATATGTGAGTTGGGGACCAGAGAAGCAAAGAGAGGTAGGTCTTGATGGATTTCAGACTATATTTTTATGAAAATAAGGATCAACTTAAAGGAGAATATCACTAAGAAGAGGACATAATCATATTTCCTTTTTTTTTTTTTTTTTTTTTTTTGAGACAGAGTCTCACTCTGTCGCCCGGGCTGGAGTGCAGTGGCCGGATCTCAGCTCACTGCAAGCTCCGCCTCCCGGGTTTACGCCATTCTCCTGCCTCAGCCTCCCGAGTAGGTGGGACTACAGGCGCCCGCCACCTCGCCCGGGTAGTTTTTTTTTGTATTTTTTAGTAGAGACGGGGTTTCACCGTGTTGGCCAGGATGGTCTCAATCTCCTGACCTCGTAATCCGCCTGTCTCAGTCTCCCAAAGTGCTGGGATTACAGGCTTGAGCCACCGCGCCCGGCCCATATTTACATTTTAGAAACAAACTTATTTCAGTGGAAAATTTAGTTGAGTGCAAAAAAGGAAGGAGAATAACCAATTATTTAATTGTGGTACAGCCACAAAATGATGGAAAATAATACCAGAGCAGTGGTAATGGGATGCAAGAAAAGTGGAAGATACTTGGGAGGACAATCAATAGGACAGTCTGAGGATATATGGGGTTTGGGAATGGAAGGCAGATTGTGTACTGCACAGCTGGAGAGACTGGCCTTGCATAGCCACAAGCAAGCCACGGAGTGGGCCCTCAGAGATGATACTCTGGTTTCTGGTTTGAGTGGCTGGGTGTATGGTCATCCTGCCCACTGAGTTAGGGAGAACAGGAGCAGATATGGTATTAAGTGGGAAGAAGATAATGTGTCCAGTTTCGAACATACTCATTTCAAGCTCTCTATGGGATATCAAAGGTAATGAGATGGATATACGAGTCTGGAGCTCATATCATTTTTCTTGGCATTAGCTTTGGGTTTGTCAATTTCTGCATGTAGATAATAATGAAAGATATAAGAATATATGGGCATTTTCTGGGATACTTTATAGAGTGAGAAAAGTGGAGGGCCAGGACACCCAATTTAAGAGATGGAAAGGAATACTAAGAAAAGATCCTGCTAATGAGGTAGGGGAAGCTCCATGTAGGGTGATGTCATGCAATAAAGGGGAAAATAGTTTTTTGGTTTTGTTTTGTTTTTATAAAGGAAGGAGTAGATAATTGTGTCAACTACTGCAAAGAGGTCAACTACAGTAAAAATTAAAACTTAATCATGGCATTTTGCAATGAGATAATTATTAATGAGTCTGGTAATGGCTCAATTTCTTGTAGAAACTGCTGAGGTTGGGAGCCGGAATGTGATGGGTTGAGGAGAGAATCAGAGGTGAAAAATAGACACATGGAGTGTAGAATATGCTTTGGAGCATTTGGTGTATAAAGTAGAAGGGAGTGAGAATGACAATAAGTTAGAGGAACATGAATTCAGAAGGATTTTGTTTTAAGAAGGGTGGGACTTGAACGTGTTCACATGTTGATGGTAAAGATTATGCTGAGATGGAAAGATCAAAGGTGATTCATTTCCAAAGAGAAAAAAAAAAAGGGTTTTAGAGAACTGGTGGAAAGATCCTTTTGAGGTTAGAGATCATAAAATTATAATGGCACTAAGCCAGTGAATCTTACACCTTCGTGACAGCCTGAATGTAAACTTCAAAAGCAACTATCATAAACATAACTTGAAATCAGGTCTTACTATGTTGTTTTAAAATTATCTAATTATGTCTCCATTTCTACAAGAGAGAGGATTGTGAGTCTTAAGTACTACAGTATTCTCACAGCCAAGGCAGCATCCCAAGCTCATAGTAAGCACCTATAATATTTATACTGAAACAATTAAAAGTTGTTATTTTCATTCTCTTGCTTTCCAGACTCATTAAGTACTTTTTTTCTTGGTTAAATATTCAAAATTTCTCCAACTTCTCCAGATACAATTTTGTTCTGAGTCTCTTCCTGTCCCTACTAACACTTTGCTGCAAAAGCTTGGTTTTGTTTATGTCTTTAACATGCAGTGTCCACACATGAAGCCACACTTCAGCTATAGCTGAGAAGAAAGAGTCTAAGGTGAAAGGTACAGAAACCTCTTTTTGTAAATGAAGAAAAAAATAGCAGTCTTAAGAGATCATGATTCTAGTTCAAGTATGTTACTCTCAGGCACAAAGACAGTTACTAATTTCTTCCACTGAAATGATATGATGGTGAGCCCTTGCCTGTGGAGAGATGAACAACCATCTTAATAAATGCTTAGTCTACACGTATGTCTTTTTCTAAAGTTTGGGAAGCATTTCTACTTCTTCTCCAGCCCCTGTTTGCTGATATTTGCTTATAGAAAGAAAATAATTCTAATATTAGAATAACAAAAACAGAAAAAGACAGCCTTACAAACATCTTGATTTTAGCTTGCTGAGAGCCATGCCAGACTGCTGACATTAAGAACTGCAAGATAATAAAGTTGTGTTGTTTTAGCCTCCTGGTTTGTAGTAATTTATTATAGCAGCACTAGGAAATGAATAAAGGGAACCAGAGGTTGAAGTTCTAAACTGGGACAGAATTAAGGATAAAGTACCAAAACTTCTTAATAGAGATGATCATTCCACACTGCCCAGCATATTAAATGGGTAAACTAAAACAGCTACTTCAACATTAACCTTTGCAGATCCACTTTTCCCCTATTGAATTATTGACTTGACATTACAGCTCATAGTAAATGATCAGCACATAAATTGTCAGCAGGTTCATGTATAGTTAGAAGTGAAAACACAAGCTCAGGAACAATGGCAGCTGACCTGCTTACAAACTACAGGTCACTACATAGCAATATAGTTAAATTTAGCTGCCCCACAAAATGTTGCAACTTGTGTGTCAATTTGTTAAGGACATTTTCTTTACTGATGACATAAGGATGGTAATATTTATTTAGCAGTTACACTGTACCACAAACTGCAGTGAAGAATTTTTCATATTTTATTTAGTTTTACAACATTAATACATAAGAGATATTATTTCCATTTTACAGATTAAATTTAAATAAACTGATCCCTGTCAGTGGTTTGGATATCTGGCCCTGCAGTCCATGTTCCTTAATGAAAGCTGTAGAAAGCTAGTTTGTCAGCATTGAGTTTCTTCTGCTAATCTTTAAAATAATCGGGCCGACTCTACTACTGCTTTTGCATATCTGTACTTCTGCATGAAAATCACTGAAACTTGATTTTTGCTCTGCTTTCCTTTGCAGAACATGACCTATTCTAGGAGAAAGTGTCCTTTTTGAAGTTTTTGCTGTGGACATTGAATTAAAAGGGAAGACACAGAACAAAATGGTACTCTGTGTCCTAGATTCTATCAAAGGAGACTACCTTCAAGAGTTTAAAATTTGGCAGCAAACTCTGCTTTAGGTCTTGCTATGGCATGTGAGAATTTATCTATGTGGCATATATTTTTTAATTAACATAGAAAATAATTTGTTAGACTTCACTTGCATTCAAGTCCACAGGTACATAGATAGGTCATAGTTTTATACATTTGTTATGGTGGGGTAGACATCAAATATTATACCATGGGCAA